ATGTTCATGACGTGGCGTACTGTACACCAAAATTTCCTCATTTCAAGGACAATAGTGCGACACGACGAAACGATGCATTGACTCTACCTGCTAGCATATCGTCCCGTGGTGCTTATACCACTACCTACACCAGGGAAGGAGAATGACATGGACTAGGACGGACAAAGAATCAGTGCCGCCTTTTAGCGATGTGCAGTCTGTTGGACCTACGTGCAAGGGACCAAAGGAGCTCGATCTCTGGCACAACACTACGAGCTACAGGGAAGGATAAATTCATGTTGGCGTAGGTGATTGGAGAGAGGATGACGGACTGCCTTGGTAAGATGCGACGTTTCCCAGCCCAGCGAAAAATATAGTCACAGACTCACAAAATCATTGAAGGATACGAAAATTCGTGTTGCGTGATGAAATGACATGAGATGAATACATCAATTATTTCTTCTTTCTTGGATCTTCTAATCAGAACACAAGTGCTCGTTCCTCTTGTATTGCTTCCACACCTGCTAAGCTCTGTCTCCACTTGGTGTCCCATGTTTTCTGGAGTAGGTCTTCATAATTATTATCTTAGTTTCATTGATACCAGGCATGCTGTGACATGTGGGCAATGTATGCTTATTTGTGGCACATATACATTTCAGATGGGCACCAAAATTTCCTTGATGGAAGTTGGATAGGTAGACATCGCTTTGGCATGAAAAAAGAAATTTCCAAAAATTATGCCTAAGCCACCTTTTTGCTTGGCTCGGCTCATATGTTAGCTAATCCCCTCCGGCCATAGTGGAGACAATCCTGACACGCTTTCTATGGGTTTCTCCAAGAGTACATGAAAACCAGAGTGTGCAGCTTGGGGCCTTTTCTGCTATGGGTGTCTGTCACGGCGGAATTCCGTGATTACATCATATTTGGCGCAGATCTCAGGCGGGAAATGGCATAGTGCTGAGTTGTGCAGGAAGAGACCTGCTTGAATCCTGCGTCTACGCACTACATCACCAAAATGATGTAATCACGGATTTCCGCCGTGACAGCAACCCATCCGAGCTGCACACTCTGGTGTTCATGTACTCTTGGTTGCTCCGACGGCGAAAACTCACATCACGTGGTGTAGTGTTCCCTCTGTACGGTCCCAGCCCGTTTTTAGGGACCAATGGAGTTGAAATAATACCACTCCCCGACAGAAACCCACCCAGCTTAGTCCAAGTCTACAGCATGACCATGGCAGATAATAGAGAGGTTTCGCTTCACGTTGTTCTGCACTACACCGTGAAATTTCACGTCGGTGTGGCAAATTTTGGCGTCGAAACTCCCGTTCATGACGTGAGCTGAGGTCAACTCACGTTCGACGTGAACGCGAGTTTTTGAAAATTTAGCCTTGCTATCAGGTTGGGATTATTGACTCGATTTGTCGATTTTGCCTAAACAAGCTACAAATAATATTTGTGCGACTTCGGCCTCACCAAAAATCACTTTTTTCGCTTTTTGAAGTTTTCGCTCCCAGTTTTCGCTCCTGTCGTCAGCGACACGACGTGCTTCACAAGCAACGTGAAACGAAAGCTCTTTCTGAGCTCGCGTCGACGCAAAAAATTGACGTTCACGTAAGAGCACAAATCACGCAGGTCGAAACCTCTCTATTCAAACTGCATGGACGCTATTTTCGTTGTACGCCGTACAAATCGCATTTGAAACACGTGATGCGAGTTTTAGACCCTGCTGTATGCAGAGTAACTGTTGCGCAGTGACACTCTTGAGAGCATACTATTGCCCTTGACAGTACTGTGTCATGAACGCCAGTCATTTTTAGAAAACTGGTTCTTAGCGGCCTTACCTGCAATATCTGTACTGACTCGCTGAGACAGACAAGGTGACGTCTTCCTTCACACTTCTCCCTTTTGCCAGAGTTGCCGTCGTCCGGTGTTGTCATTAGTCGCTGCTCGGAAAACTCTTCCGTCATTCTTCCGCAAAGTACATTGAATGCGGTTCCGGCCGCACACGCATCTTCTTGCGCTAACACTGACTAATAGTACATACTGCCTCAGGTAGCACGCTACCGTCCGCTGCCCGCTGATTGAGGCTGGCCTGCCGACTAGCAGCAGCCATCTACAACCCTCCGGCTCGATCGACTGTTCACCTGTCGTTGACTGCGCTCCATTGCGGGACAGCAATACGTATTCACTGCAGAATAGCAATATTTCCTCGCCCGCTTGACTTACTAATAAAACGAAACGAGGAAAAGGACAAAACTAAGGGGATGTAGGAACGACGTGTCGATGTGCTGGGAACACACCACGCACTCCCTCGTCTTCGGTGCTTTTTGAGCTGAGTAGCGACCTGGTCCCGGAAAGCAGACGTCGACCATTCCGCAAACATCATAGTCCCTTCAGAGCCGAGTGCTTTGTTGATAGTGACAGAGCCTTCAGGCTCTCCGGAGGTCGGCGACGCGAGCCGCGCGGAGAAGAAGTTCGCTAGAGCGTCTTGCGGCCAGGGGCCATTGGTTGGTTGGTACCGGTATTTTTACTTCGCCAGAATGAAGCGGCATTATTGCCCTTGGCTACTAGCATTGCGTCGACAACTCGTCTCCCGTGACTGCCGCTAGTGTTCATAGCTTTCTCGTAAGTCGCTCCTTCAACACGTGGAGGCAAAACGGTTGCCAGAGCTGCATACCTCGTCCGGTCGCCCAGCCGTGCACGCTCTGCACAGTTAGCCGTATTCCGTTTCCGGCGTTTGGTCCGCTCTCTCACAGGTGTGTCGTTTCCGTTGTACGTTGTGTTTCGGTAGCGTAGCGTCCACGTTGCGGTGCCAGCACACCATAGACTCCCACCAAGCGGCAAGCAATATGCTCGATAGTACCGCAAGGACTACAAGTGTCTTGTAGCCAATGAAGGCTGCAGCCCTTTTTGAGGACTGAGTCAAGAGTGGAAAAGAACGCATCAAGATCCAAGATGAGTCCTATATCTGACGCTAGAGCGGCAAAATCACGAATGAGCCAATTAAATGGCCAGGCGACAATGTGGGCGCAAGCGAGGGTACGTGTACTGTATTAGTTACATGCAAGACTGGCAAGGTGTGAAGACTCAATGGCTGTCACCCTGGACCTGCGCCTCGTCACAGACGACGCTGCTAACGCCGGGTTCACACTAGGCCGATTTTCCGGCCGACATGGACTCGTATGCAAAATCCTCAAGATCGGGATTATCAAGATCAGAGTGCTGAAAAGGAGGTACTGGAAGCAGACGTCCGATCTGGGATATAAAACTCTCGATGGAAGCAAGCATCTGGCCTTCTGATGATTTCACCTTCTGCAAATGTTCTACTGCAGTTCAAGGCAGGACAATGAAAATAAGTATTATGTACATGTGCGCGTGCGTGTTTGTATGTGTGTGTGTGTATGCATGTGTGCATGCGTTCGTGTGTGTATGTGCATGCGTGTGTATGCGTGTGTGTGCGTGCATGCGTGCGTGCGTGGGTGGGTGGGTGGGTGCGTGCGTGAGTGCGTGCGTGAGTTCGTGCGTGCGACGTGCGTGTGTGTGTGAGGATGTGTGTGTGTGCGAGGATGTGTGCGTGTGTGTGTGTGCGTGTGTGTTCAGCCCAACCCATACAATACCTTGCCCTTACAAGCCACTCGGCATATAATCCACCTACCCCCGTCCACAGTGCATTCACACAGTTTTTATGCAGCCATGGACCCCAGGTGAAATCACGCATGATCTGATGCACACAATAGAGATGTTAAGGTGCACGTTTTTCTGGCTTCACGCGAAAGTTCAGCTGGCATTATATGGCTTGCACGTCGAAAACGACACGAGTGACCTGCAGCTCACCGAAGTTTGGAGTTTTACGTCAAATTTGACGGCAAATTGTGCGTGACGTTCGAAAGAAGGTGCATCTTAACTTCTCTATTACTGTTAAACCGGAAAATCTAACGAGTCACAAATTCTAACGTTTAGCGACCAGTTTTTTTCGTTATTTCAAGAAACGTTATGGGGAGATGTCTGTGCATACAGATGGGTACCAGGTGGCCGACCAGGTAGCCATCGTTAAACTTTCCGCACGTTATTATGCCAAAATTTCAAAAAAAACGTTAAACTTGTTCGTTGTTAAACTTTCTTGTTTTACAGTATTTAGAATAGACGGCAGTGTTTTTGTCACTACCCCGTGCAATAAATGAATTCCAAAAAATAGTAGAACAGCAAGATTAACGAGAACAGCAGCAGCAACAAATTGATGACGACCATAACAACAGCAGCAACAGCAGCAGCAGCAACAAAACGATGACGACCATAAAAACAGCAGCAGAAGCAACAGCAACTACTAAGGGCGCGTTCGAAATGTCTTCACCAACTGTTCAAACAACTTTTATAAAGAGATTACTTGTACAAGTAGTTGAAGTGTCTCATTAGAACGGTTTCTATAATTTTTAGAGTTTTTCAGTGGAATTGTCATGGCTATGATGACGTCTGATCGGATCGACCAACTCCACATACTACGTGAAGAAGCTATTCCACACTTTTCGGAACTAATCCACCTCTCCCATCGGATGAAGTTGTGGAGTTTCGAGGAGCTTCGTTTTTCTGAAGAGGCCAATAAGGCCACCTCTTCAGAAAAACGAAACTCCTCGAAAAGTCAAAGAGTGACAATTTGAATCCGCCCTACATGTACTAAAGTGCTGCTCAATAAAATCCAGTCGCTTCACTCCAGTGTGCGCCGTGCATTGCACAGCCATAGACCTGAGAACATTGGGCTGTGAAATGATGCAAGGCGCAAACTCAAGTCACGTGACTGGATTTCATTGAGCAGCCCTATGCTAGCGTACCGTAGCTGTCATGCTGGACACACCAATGCCAATCTTATGGCCAAACCATATACATTCCTATTGCCGTAATAACCCAACCAGGTCATCAACCAACATAGTTGATCCAAGTATCCATTCAGCCCCACAAGGTCACCTTGGACGATAGGAAAATTGGAGAGACAAGAGGTCTGCTCATTATTAATCAGTTCAAGGATTAAGGAAGGTTGCGTGCACTTTAAAGAACCAAGCAGTAGCACTTATACACGAAACCCAATGGTTGAAAATGACACAGATCAACAGTGGCGTGAAGGCCAACAAGTCAGATTAAAGTCTGCTGATTTTTCAATCAGATCTTGGATTGATTGGGACGTTGTGCGCACTTCAAAGAACCATGCAGCAGCAGGTCAAAAAAACCAAATGGTTGGAAATGACACAGATGAACAGTGGCGTGAAGGCCAACAAGTCAGATTAAAGCCTGCTGATTTTTTCAATCAGATCTTGGATTGATTGGAAGGTTGTGCGCACTTCAAAGAACCATGCAGCAGCAGGTCAAAAAAACAGATGGTTGGAAATGACACAGATGAACAGTGGCGGGAAGGCCAACAAAGATTAAAGATATGTAACTAGTATGATTTGACCAGTAACAGACCAGAAGAAATACATAAGGTGTGTTATTTGTTATTTATATATTGTTGCACTTAGCTTTCACTTCACTTCTATTGTCTCACCTTCTCTCATTCTATTTTGGCACTGTATTTTGTTCTCGTAACACATCATTGAATGTATATCATTGTTCAGCATGGTTACTCTTCATTCATGACATTCCACTGATGAATGTGACAATAAAATTAATTATGGTAAACTTTCATGACTTCGTTGTAGTGTGGCGATGACTGCAGAATTTGTTCTCTTTATTGCTATTATATTTGATTAACCTGCGTATATAAACAGACTGAGACAGACACCATTCCATGCATTGACGATGACACGATCTTGGATGTTCTTTGATAGTGATCCACACTACTCAAACAGTGCATAAATTGTTCTGACTGTGCTGTGCACCCATGCCCATGCAGAGCTTTCCCAGGATCTGCAGGTGACAGGAACACGTGAACATATGCACGTACGTACATACACATGTACACACACACTTGCACACAAACTCATGCACACAAACACGCACACCCACACACGTGCACACCCACACGCGTGCACACTCACACACGTGCACACACACACACGTGCACACACACACACACACACACACACACACACACACACAAACACACACACACACAAACACACACAAGCGTACGGTATGAATAACGATGGCGGCCATGGAAGGGAGGTCAGGGGCCCTCCCGCTGGAAAAATTTCAAAAATTGAAGCCAATTGCAAGCATTTCCGGGCATTTGGTGCCATTTCAGTGTACGGTAACTACAACGAAAGTCTATTTGATTCTGCAACAAACGAAGAAGACGCTACGATCGGGGACAAACATATCCCTGCCCTGGAAAAAAATATTGAAGATAATAATTATTAAACTCGGATGTTGAGCCATAAATAAATGTAGAAGAGAAAAGGACATATTGCACTTTCTGACTGTATAAAGTATCATGTTACAGTGATGGAGAGTTACTCTTAACTCGTATCCATATGTCCTTTTCTCTTCTACATATAATAATTATTGCAAGCATTTCCAGGCACTTGGTGCCATTTCAGTGTCTCTTTCCCTCAAATCAGTTAATATAATAATTATTGCAAGCATTTCCAGGCACTTGGTGCCATTTCAGTGTAACTGCAATGAAAAACATTTTTCTGCAACAAACCACAATCAGGGACAAGAATTTGTCACGTTTGCGCTAAGCTGCGATCTTTGTGCTTTGTTGTAATGTGCTCCAAAAAAAACGGCGGAAAAAGTGAGGCGGCCTCAGCCGCCCCGGCCGTGACGGCCTTGCCGCAAAGGTGGTATGACAAACGAGTAATAAAGCATTGCTAGATTGTAGACGTTACTGGCAAGGTGGTAACAGTTAAAGGCCAAGGCGGAAGGTGGGGTGCTGACGAAGAAAATATAACTGGCATCTCAAGGCACAGCCTACAGTTTTGTTTTTTTCTTTCTTTCTCTTGCACCTTGCACAGATATCAGTGCTTTAGATGTGCTCGACGGAAAACGTCCATCGAAGACTGCCCTGGCTATAATGAATCAAGCGATGGTGGAGGAGGTGCTTGGAAGAGTCCAAAAAAAAAGATATCGTAAGAGAACTGGAGAGTTTCACGCACAAAAAGGTGTTTCACCAGCTGGGCTGCGAAAATTCCGCCGGAGTTTATTGTGGTGGGGAGCGGCTGTTGTTGGCGCAAGTGTGTCCGTATTAACTCGCTCTTACAGCGTCGTAAGTGCCTGAACGTCGAAGTACAGACGGGAAGTTGTCAGCAAGGTTGTCATGAAGGCGGAAGGTGGGGTGCTAATGTCTGTTAAAATCTGTGGTTGTTTGTTTCTCGTCATTTTCTCTTCTCTTTCAATTGTCCTTTCCTTCTTCTTTTCTCCCCATCGGGCTCCGGAAGAGTTCTATACTCCTGGTCGTCTTGCCGCTACCGCCGCCGCCGCTGGGGTAGGACAGTCTGCTGGTCGCAATAGGGTCCTTGCATGACGGGGCGGTGGAGCTCACCCCTGCCCATCCCGCAATCCAATAGTACTTACGGGGCAGTGGAGCTCTCCCCTGCCCATCCCGCAATCCAATCGTACTGATGTTGTAGTACAAGCTCTCTACTGCTTTTCTCTCGACCAGTTTTGTTTGAAAGGCCTGGATGAGTCACATCAGCACCAACAACAATATAGCGGGTTCTTTGAAGAATGGGTGCTTGAACTCGGGCACAATGACGAAGTTGATTCCATCAAGCTTGGAGTTAAGACTGATTGACGCAGTACCTGCTGCAGCCGGCGCACATGCTTCTGATACCAAAGAAAAGTGGAAAACAGGATTTAATGGCAGATTTTGGAGAGCTGACACTAATGGATGCAACATACAGGACCATATGTTATGATCCTGCTCTGGTTTTCATTGTAGTCCATACCAATGTTGGCTGCATAGTTGTCGCTGGTTAGTTTTGTGTACTATTAAGCACATTTCAACTTTGCTGATTTTCCCCTGGACCTTGTTCAATTGGTTTCCGTAAGTATTCCGAGTGTACACTGGGAATAGCAGCTAGGACATATAGTGTAACGTTAGTCAGTCATAATGGCATCTTCTCCTTCTCTTCCTTTCTCCACACAAAGTTCTGCATTCAGCCTGAGCAGAGTGAGGATATCGCTAAAGCACTGCCTATACTAAAGGCGAGCAATCCACGTTGGCAGCCTAAACTTCGTGACAGACTGTCCGGAAGCAGACATGTTAGCAATTGAGGTGGTAAAGGGAAACATTATCACTACATGCATTCCTGCTTGGAGTGATGGATATCGGGCGAGTCCAAAACACGACCATCCACAGATACTTTCTGGTCACTTACTCGAATACCAAACTCCTTCATGGATTCAGATTCATTGATTCGAGCTTCTCTATACTATATGTTCCCGAAGCCTGAGCAGATCCATTTGATGGCAGTGTTCCCACCCCAGGCAGTGTGACATTGAAGCTTCAGAACCAGCAGCTGCAGCATCAGTAGCAGCAGCACCAACACCAGCAGGACGATCAGCGCTCTAGCAGACATCGGCACGATGGCTGAAGGTCCAGCTCCAGCACAGGGAGCAGAGCATGTCGTGGTGCACGAAGCAAATCACATTGTGTACCTTTTCGAGGGTTATACTCCACTCATACATCTTTGTGCTTCCTTGCGAGCTGGATCTTGTTCTAAACATTTAATGCTTTTGATCTCATATGATAGGTTCAATGATCCCTCTTCACCGTGCAGGACCACATTCTCAATATCTGTAGATACGAATGATTTTAAGTACGAATCTGTGCATCTTATATTTTTAGTTGCCAGTCATCTTGCAAGTCTCAATGGCGAGGAAGGACCTGTACTGTGCCCAGACATTGCTCCGTCAGCAAACCTCCAACTATTCGCAAGGGGCACCTAGAAGAACTGTTAATACAAGCAAACCATTGGTTCTCACCATCAAAAAATAATCTGACCGTCCCAAGTGGTGCTTATCCTGGCTTATTTATGTTAGGTGAATGTACTCATTCTTTCCTCCTGGGGGCTGTCCCCCTGTTGTTGCTCCGAGTTTTCTTCTGCATTCCAGTTCCCATCTGGCTGCGGCCTACTACCCTCACTCTGTGTGCTCCTGCCTCTGTTGACTGGGGGCATGTCGTTATGTCGGTGTATGTGGAGCGACTACCATTGATTCTCACCATCAAAAACCTGTATATCACTGCAGAAACAGTGAAGAGCAAGGGGACACTAAAGTTTGTTTGTACCCTGAACTTTTGTTGGCATGCTTTGTGTTGCCACACCTGTCGTCATCGCTCTGGTTTCGGATGTCGACTCCGGTGCCATCGCTAACTTAACCTACGCACTCAGTCCGCAGAGCATATCCGAGTGTCTGCACCGGTGTGCGGTGAAGGTCATGCAGTGCTGCCACAGGCAAGTTCATCGTCGCAGCCCGGCTGAGTGCATCACATCTTCTGTGTAACCTCTGACGGTGATTTCGCAAGCACTGCTCCACTGGACCGCGAGTTTACTTTCTCATAGTGGTGGTAACAGATAGCAGTGCCGATGGTCCGCGATTCAACGGAAAACATGCCTATCCATGACACTCGATGATGTAAATGACGAGACGCCAGCATTCGATCAGGCAAGTTTCGGTGGGAAAATCCGTGAAACCTTCCAGCGGGTCATTCCATAATGACAGTGACAGCCACTGCTGCCAAGAACATCGGGCTCAACGCAGACCTAGTATACTCACTGAGCACCAATGGAGCGTGAACTCTCTTTAGTTTCCACCAAGACATGATATCCTCTGCCAACATCTTGGATCGGGAGACATCAAACTTCTGGCAGTTCATGATCACAGCTACAGACAAAGGCGCCACTGGAGCTTGAACTCTCTTTAGTGTCCACCAAGACATGATATCCTCTGCCACCATCTTTGATCGGGAGACATCAAAATTCTGGCAGTTCATGATCACAGCTACAGACAAAGGCGCCCCGAGCGGGAACTCTCTTTATTCTCCAACCAGACAGTGGCATGATATCCTCAGCCGCAATATTTGATTGGGAAGCATCCCACTTCTGGCAGTTCATGATCACAGCTACCGACCAGGCGTCCCCATCTTTGATTGGGAAACATCCGACTTCTGGCAGTTCATAATCACAGCTACAGACAAAGGCGTCCCGACACGAGCTTTCACATTGCGGTGCCCATGGCAATCAACATGACTGATGCCAACGATAACCCTCCACAGTTTGTACTTGCTTCCAGGATCACCATGCAGTACAACGTGAACAAGTATGTATGACGTCATCACTTTGAAGTATGTATGACGTCATCACTTTGAAGCCTCATACTACACACTGCATACTACTTCTCCATACTGCACGCTGTACACTGCACACTGTATACTGTACACTGCACAATGTATACTGCATGCTGCAGACTGCATTCAGTATTTATGCTATCCTGTCATACAAACGTCCACACTAATGTTCCCAGATACCGGTCAAATATATCGCTTATTTGACTACCTAGACAAATACGCAGTTATATTTGACTTATAGTAAAGAAAAAAGGAGCAAGAAACTGCAAGATACGACAACTACATGACATTGTATAATGTCTTGGTCCTTTTTTATTTACTATACATTTATCCTTGCCTCTCCATCTGAGTCCATTATATTTTGACTACTTTTATTTGACTCCTTGGGCCATCCGTGAATATCGAACTTTTTCAATGAATTATTTTAGTTTGGACCCAACCCCTCCCTCCCCCTCAGAACGGAAAAAAATGTTCACTTGATAATACATGCAAAAGTCGCAAGTGTGTCACTGCTCCTATGGCCGTGTTCATGTATCAATGTTTTCTGAAACGAAATTGGTCAACCCCCTCCCACCCCATAACGAAATTATTTCGTTTTGTGGACGACCCCTTCGATAGAACCTCGTAGGTCAAGGAGACAGCATTTGTATAGAATATGAGAGCGCCGTTTTTTTATTGTCAGCATTTTGATTGTGTCCAGGCCCTTTTCTTTTCCCTCAACTACTGGTGATTGTTTTCTGTTTTCATTGTTTTCACATTTCTTTTATGGCTCATAATTATTACAATCTAGTGGACTTACCCTGTTGGATACGCTTCAATGTGTTGTACTGAGACCTTGCAGCGTCCCCTGGGAAGAGAAGAAAAGGAGAGAAAAAGAGAAAACAACATCACAGAGGCACAGGAGAAACAAAGTCACTTGACACAAAAAGGATGGTTCTGGCTGCGTCTTGACCCACAGAAGTCAACAGTGATTTCTGTCTTTGCATTTCCATGATGAAGAGGAGCTGCAAGTGCTAGTCAAAGACTACTGAACTAAAACATTACCCTATCATGTGCGTGACTACTATCACAGAGGGCGAAGCACTCTCGTACATAAACTCAGCCCCAAGTGCTGGAGAAGACAGCTCCTCTAGGGCCAGAGTAATGCTTTGGAGTTTGTATGATTGCCTTAGGACATGAACTGTGCCAAATTACGATGCTTTCATCAGACAGTTGCACTCTCGGCTACTGATGTGTTGCTAGCGGCGATATGGGGTTAAGTGGAACCAACATGGCTGCCTTGTACTGTATATCATGTGAAGAGAGGTCTACCTTGACAGGACATAATGAAATTTTGAAGCTCTGCAAAAACGAAAATCCAGGCAATAAGCTGATGGCAGGTTACGTCGGACTGACAAATTGAGTATGGCCATGGAAATCAAATAGGCTAAGAGAGCGAGGGACATTTTCCGTGCTTCCAAAAGAGATATTGAGAGCCTGAAAGTGAAAAGTGCTACGACGTATTTTCGGTAGCAAGATGGCTAGTGAAGAAGCCAAATCCAACACCGCACTAGAGTTTCGAGAGAACTGTGTTCTCTGCCAGTCTAATGGTGAGTTCGGTGCAGCAGCTAGTCAGTTGAAAATACTCAAGTGTCTTCTCGTATCGTGAAAGTCCTGTGCAGAGCAGTTTCTGCTCTACAGCAACACTATTCGCTGTGCTCGCTGTCAAACAGTTACACCAGACCCTGGTTCAGGTCGGAAACTCACCGAATGCCTCGTTAGCTGGTCAACCCAGCAATCAGCTGCCAGCCACCATGATCAGAGAGATACGTATAATGACGGGAGTGACTTTCGAGCAATGAAGCGGCGCAGGTATTGTTTTGCCAGAATTTGCACTGCGAAGATGTGGACGAACGTGCTGAAATGCGCTGCTTGACGTGCGATATGCTGCTCTGCAACATTCACTCTGTAGCTCACCGATGGAGAAAGAGTCGCCGTGGCCACCAGATAACCGCCGTGCCGTTTTATTGAACGATAGAACACTAGTCACCACTTTTTTCTTTTTTTTCTTACTGAACTACAGTCCAGCAGAGAACGGGATGGGAAGACAGAACCAAAGAGGAGACAGCTGTCCGCTGAAAAATGAAGACTTGCGGTCCTACTGTAACGTTAAGTCCTGCAATGTGTTGGTGTTTGATAGATGCCATACAAATGAACTATGTTTCACTGCATACAACGGGCAGGACGCGCTAGAATTCAGTGTTGCTGCCAACAAGCCGAGGCACGTCAATGAGTTGTGCCAGGGTGAGATACCCATTCTGGACAACATGGTGAGTGAAGCGGAAGGCCGTGCCGAAGAAGTGAACGAAGAACTGAGACCATGTTAGGGTTAGGGTTAGGGTTAGGGTTAGGCCGAAAGCGGTTAGGGTTAGGGTTAGAAATATCTGCCAGCAGAGCGGCGGTAGGGCGGCACAACGCAGAAAGATGTATGGAAAATGCAAAGCAATGTATAAATGAAGTGCAGTGGATGATATAGGAACACAAACCAATGCAAGAGAAAATTTGAACGCAATAGCAAAAGTTGAAAAAAGTAAACGCAATGATGTAGGTGGATGAGTCGTGTATTGTGAAAAAGAGAAAAAAAACTGTCCAAAGGAAGATGGTGATAAGCTTATTTCTGCACTATGAAAGGAGTGCTTCATCAGACCAATGGAGTCAAAGTGGATGAACAGTTTCTTATCAATGGGATTTAGGTATGTGGGGTGAAAACAATAGGAGGTGTAGAAAAAGACGGCTGGGAAGTGCGAGTCTCAAACATGTTTATGTTTAAGATGGCTGGCCAGACATTTTGTCTTTGTCCAAGCGATAAATGGCGCCTGGCCTAAAATAGTGTCAAGTTTGTGCTTGGTCCATAGGGTTCTTAGCACTTTGTTGATATCTGTAAGGCCAGGGTGGTAGGGGAGTATGAGTGGTGGTGTGGTGTTGGTTTTAGTGTGAGCAGGTCGCCTTCGGTGTGTAGAGGAGAGTGCAGCGCTGACTACCGACTTAGAGTAGCCACGTTCAATTAGTTTTGAAGCTAGAAAGGAACGGTTACCTAAGGAGGTAACTTCAGTTGTGGATCCTCTGTCTGCTCGGATCATCTCGCCAAGCGCCACCGCCTTCCAAGTATGGTGAGGGGGGGGGGGAAGATCTTGGGGAGATGTATTGAAATTTGTTTGTTTCTTTAAAATTAATTTTAGATTCTATTGCGTTGTCAAGGATACTGAGTTTAAGATCTAGCATAATAATTTCTACTTTACTTGTTTCATGCGTGAATTTGACAGGGCAGTTAGTTTGAATGGGTTCATCGATAATTTGCTTGATTCGCTCTCAATAGCTAGGGATGTCAGCGCGGACACTGCGCAGGGCTTTGCGCATTCAATGATGTAATCGATTTTTCAACGCGGCGATGGCAGACTGAAAGAAAATGGCGATCGCCAAAAACCGGCTCAGTGAGTCGCTATTTGACGACTCCCCGATGCAGCTCGACCTATATTTTGAAGTTTGGAACATTTTTAGAGAGAAAGAGAGGGAGAGAGAGAGAAAGAGAGGGCTAGAAAGAAAGATTACTCAAGGTAATGCTTCAGTAGAGTCATTAGAAGTTCTGGGCACACTGATAGGCTAATATCATCTGACGATTTCCACAGCTTGTGCCGCTTGTTGCAGAGCATCAGTGAAAATGCGCCGCCAGAAGATCGGCGATCGTGAAGTCGGCTTTGGGTAGATTTGGCCATCGCCATCCCGAGGAGCCGCTCCTGTTGCCTGTGTGAACCAAACCACGTCTCCACACGACTACTCGAACAAAACCCTGTCCACACCTGACAATCGATGTCTCTGGAACAACGGCCCATATGCACGGCGATATGTCAGAAATGCAGAAATTCACAAGAACGAACACCGTCACGTGGAGCTTGAACGCTTCGGTCAAATTTCCTACAAACTCTCAACATCCAACATCAAGTATTTCTGCCGGGTTTACCATTGAATCCAGAGCTTTTCCCCGGTTAAATCCAGAGATTTTCAACTCTGAGATCGTGGCAACGATCGGCATGGTCGCCATTTTCCGCTCTGAAAGAACCCTGTCGTTTGGAACGAAAACGGCTTCGCGCCTTCCAACGAAAGCTACAAATCGATTCCAGAACACATGGGCGGCCAACATACCAAACAAGATCCCATTCTGGAAAGCAGGTAGCCTGTAACCACCATCTCCTTGCACGGAAATTTCAGCCATTTCTCCTTCGTTCAAGGTCTCAATTTTCTGCAAAAAATAGCCAGTGTTTGGCAAAAATTCTGCATGCCACTTCTGATGCGCGTTTGGCTGCATGCGCGAACTGCATGCGCAGTGCACGCGCTGAGATCCCTATCTATTGTGACGGCGAATAGGTCGTCTATATATCTCTTTGCTAGCAGGGAGGAAGCAAAGAAAGTTGTGAGATGGTATCTTTCCTTTCGAAACGTAAAGATGTTAGCGTAGGCAACAGCTGCAGGGCTGCCCATTGCCGTACCTTGGAGTTGATGATAAGTAGAGTCATTGAATGTAAAGTAGTTATTCATGAGAATTATTCTCATGGTTTTTACTACGGCTACTCTCCATGTACCTGGAATGTCCTTTTGGCGGAGGTGCCAGGCAAGGGCTTGGAGGCCATGGACATGTTTGATAGATGTATATAGAGAGACTACATCCATTGTCATAAGTACGGAATTGTGCGCCAGGCGCAGGTTCCGTGTATTTGTGAGGAGATCCGTAGAGTTAATGAGTGTGGATGGGTGTTTAAGGATTGTAGGCCAGAGGGTGAAGTGGATGAAGAGGGCCCAGTAGTACGTGGGTGATAAAATGGATGATACAATAGGACGTATCTTGAGTGGGTTTTTGTGGAGTTTTGGTAGGCCGTAAAAATTTGGGGTACGAGTTCCGGGCGTACGGAGTTGTTTGGTTAGACGTTTGTGTAGGTCGTCTTCGATAGGCAGCAGGGCTTCCTCAAGGGCTGGTTGGGTGTCTGGGATAGAATCAACAGTCTCGTACGGGTCTTTATTTAAAAGGTGGTCAAGACAAAGGGATTTGTACTTATCCGTTGTCATAACGACGGTGGTAGAACCTTTGTCAGCTCTGCATACTACAAGATTGGAGTTGCGAAGAGTGTCCAGGGCTTTACGTTCTGCCGGTGTGAGGTTCTTTTTACTAGGTTTTGGTTTATATTGTTGTAAGGTAGTACCAATATCCATACTAAACTCGATTTGTTCAATGGGAATGGAATTTAGTAGTGGTGTCCAATTCGATCGAGCAAAGATCCTGGAGTATTGGTTCCTAGTTTTTGGCTCGCCCATAAAGAATGCATGAACATGTAGGTTACGTAGGAACCTGGGGAAGTTGTCGGCCCAGGATGCATGTGGGAGGGTGTTAGTTCGAGGAACGAATTTTAAGCCGAGGCTTAAGATATCTCAGGCAGTGTCAGAGATTTTGATGTCGCCGATCATCATTACTTGTGTAGTGTTCTTTGATTCGTTAAATATGAGTTCCGCTGCTCGCCTTTTTAGTCTCCTTCGGTTCCGACGGCGTTTAGATTTTTTAGCCGTGTTCTGGGACTCTGTTGGTTGTCAGGAACGTGGCGGAGGGTGAAAATACGCGGGCTGGCGCCTCTGTTGCGGGTATGGTGTTGGCCTAACTACCTGTCTAGGTGGGAAGTGTTGTGGTGGCAGTATGGGGCCGATAAAACGGGGCGGCCCTCTAGGTTTGTAAGATTGAACGCGAGGGGGTTGAATGTATGTTGGAGGCTGCAACGGACCCATTGGGTTGGGTGGTCCCCGGGCTCTCGGAGGGTTTATGACATGTTGGGGCCGGATTAATTGCGGCTGTTGTTGGTAGGGGGTCCTTGGTTGGGTTGAACCACGTTGGCCGGTAATGTAGGTTCTAGGCGGTTTATTAAATGTAGGCGGTGCTTGTGCATAATTTTGCCTCGGTCGGGGGACCTGTTGGTTTTGCCTTCGGGGTGGGGCCTGTGGAGGTGGCCGAGCGAGTGGAGGCTGAGTTTGTTTGCCCGTTTGTAGCTGGGGTTTTGGTGGTTTCGCTTTATCCGAGAGTGCAAGAATGTGTTTTGCGAGACTTGGGCGGTGGATAAGTGGTGTATCGCTCATTTTCTCACTGATAACGGAATCGATAGCTCTGGGGAGATCCGTGATTGCTGTAGCTATCGTCTTGCGTGTCTCTTGGAAAAGGTCTTGGTGTCGGGCAAGTTCGATCTCTAGCACTTTTAAATTAGTGTCGGCGGCTATTTGTGCTAGTTTTTCGTCCGAGGGGTCATGGCCTGTTTTACGCGGTTTGTATCTCAGGGCATTGTGGGGGGTTCTGGAACTGTGGCGTACTTGTTCATCTAGGAGGTTAGTACCTGCTATATGAAGGTTGACCTTATGGTCGCGTAACTTCTTCAGAATAGGCCAGAAGAGGGTTTGATACTTTGATTTTTTTTCTTTTTCTGTTTCTTATTCTAATTATTGTTATTTTTGCGGGTTCGTTTACTGGTTGCCATGGCGCCTTTGGCTTGTTGGTTTCGTGAATGTTAACTACGGTTTGCAATGTGCAAACCTCCATCTATCCCAAGAGTCACCTAGAAGAGCTGTTAATTCAAGCAAACCATTGGTTCTCACCATCAAAAACCTGTATATCACTAAAAAAACAGTGAAGAGCAAGGGGACACTAAAGTTTGTTTGTACCCTGAAATTTTGCTGCCAAGAACATCGGGCTCAACGCAGACCAAGTATACTCACTGAGAACCACTGGAGCGTGTACTCTCTTTAGTTTCCACCAAGACATGATATCCTCTGCCACCATCTTTGATCGGGAGACATCAAACTTCTGGCAGTTCATGATCACAGCTACAGACAAGGCGCCCCGAGCGGGAACTCTCTTTAGTGTCCAACCAGACAGTGGCTTGATATCCTCAGCCGCAATATTTGATTGGGAAGCATCCGACTTCTGGCAGTTCATGATCTCTTTAGTGTCCACCCAGACAGTGGCAGTTCATGATCAAAGCTACCGACAATGGAGCCCCGAGCGGGAACTCTCTTTAATGTGCACCCAGACAGTGGCATGCTAGCCTCTGCCACAATATTTGATCAGGAAACATCCTACTTCTGGCAGTTCATAATCACAGCTACAGACAAAGGCGTCACGCCGCGAGTTTTCACATTGCGGTGCCCGTGGCTCTCAGCATCACTGATGCCAATGATAACCCTCCACAGTTTGTACTTGGTTCCAGGATCACCATGCAGTACAACGTGAACAACAAGTATGTGTGACATCACGCTTTGACGCCTCATACTACACACTGCATACTACTTCTCCATACTGCATACTGTACACTGCACACTGCATACTGCATTCAGTATTTATGCTATCCTGTCATACAAACGTCCACTCAACTTTCCCATCGTGCAGGTGGTTTATATTGGGCATATAAACCACATGGGCATATAGACCACATATCCTCCTATTACACAAGCGGAAAAACGTCAGAGATCAAATTCGACTCAGCACCCCGAAGACTACAACTGGTGGAAATTTGATTTTAGGCTCAACTTCCCCTCTAACTCCAGACGCGACTTTCTCTAATAGGGCTTGAAAGTGATGACGTCAAAACGGCCAGGGAGTAGTAAGTTGACATCAGATTTCTATTTTGGATCCACTAAGGTGTGACTTTGCTATTGCCTGTGGGTGCATAGCAACCCACTCATGTCGCACACAGGTGTGACTTTTATTTCGCCACCATTTGTCACCCCGGCCCCATTAGCCAAATCAGTCAGTTTCACTGGCTACATCACCTTGCTGTGAGTAAGACGGCTTGAAATGTGCTTGGATCCATACAAAAACTGGATCCAGGTGGATCCAGTTTTTGAATTTTTGAAATTGTTGCTATGCTGTGACGTAGCACTTTCAAGCCCTATTATCTCCATTCAGGTTGAGACTTTCTCTGTAGGACTCAGATTGCCGACTTCTCCATACAAAAACTGAGTTGGAGTCATACAGAGAAAGTCTCAACCTGAGTGAAGATATCTAGGGAAAGTTTTGTCTGGAGTTATGACCTGGAGTTATATAGAGAAAGTCGCAGTGAAGCCATTATAGGCACGAAGTAAACAGGTGATAAAATACATTCAAACCTGTCTAAGACGACCGCTCAAGGGACCTTCAAAGTGCGGTCTCTGTTACCAGGTGGTCTCCTTTCCCAGGGTCATTTGACTGGAAATAGCAACCCTTGGTCCTGGCTGCAGTGGTCGTCTGGGACAGGTGGTCGCCTTATCCGCCGAGTGGTCGCTTTGACAGATTTTTACTGTATAGAGACAGGGATGACAAACAGAGATATGATGCCATGCTGAGTGTAACATATTATACCACCCCAATAACATTCATAGTACGCAGTACAACTCGTATTCGAAACACGTGATGTGAGTTTTAGACACGGATGCAGAGGTGCACACTCTTGAGAGCTTAGACAGTATTGTGTCATGATCTCAAGTCATTTTTAGGAAACTGGTTCTTAGCGCCTTACCTGTAATATGTGTACTGACTCGCTGAAACAGACAAGGTGACGTCTTCCTTCACACTTCTCCCTTTTGCCAGAGTTCCCGTCGTCGGGTGTTGCATTAGTCGCTGCTCGGAAAACTCTTCCGTCATTCTTCCGCAAAGTACATTGGATGCGGTTCCGGCCGCACACGCATCTTCTTGCGCTAACACCGACTACTGGTGCTGCCTCAGGTAGCGCTACTGTCCGCTGCCCGCTGATTGAGGCTGCCAATTACTTGCAGCCCTCGACAACCCTCCGGCTCGATCGAGTGTTCACCTGTCGTTGACTGCGCTCCACTGCGGAACAGCAATACGGTATTCACTGCGGGATAGCAATATTTCCTCGCCCGCTTGACTTACTATTAAAAAGAAACGAGGAAAAGGACAAAACAAAGGCTTGAAAGGGGATGTAGGAACGACGTGTCGATGTGCTGGGAACACACCACACACTCCCTCGTCTTCGGTGCTTTTTGAGCTGAGTAGCGACCTGGTCCCGGAAAGCAGACGTCGACCATTCCGCAAACATCATAGTCCCTTCAGAGCCGAGTGCTTTTTTGATAGTGACAGAGCCTTCAGTGACATGTCCAGTGAGGCTGTCTGGAGGTCGGCGACGCGAGCTGCGCGGAGAAGAAGTTTGCTAGAGCGTGTTGCGGCTCGGGACCATTGGTTGGGTGGTACCGGTATTTTTACTTCCCCAGAATGAAGCGGCATTATTGGCCTGTATTGCGTCGACAACTCGTCTCCCGTGACTGCCGCTAGTGTTCATAGCTTTTTCGTAAGCCGCTCCTTCAACACGAGGTGGCAAAACAGTTGCCTGGCGAGCAGTAGATCTATCTCGTCCGGTCGTCCAGCCGTGCACGCTCTGCACAGCAAGCCGTATCCTGTTGCCCGCGTTTGGTCCGCTCTCTCGCAGGTGTGTTGTTTCAGATGTATTTCGGGAGCGTAGCGTCTAAGTCGCGGTGAAAATGCCAGCACACCGCATAGACTCCCAGCAAGCAACATGCTGGATAGCACGGCAAGGTGTCTTGTAGCCAATGAAGGCTGCAGCCATTCACGACTGAGTCAAGAGTGGAAAAGAACGCATTATGATCAAGGGTGAACCCTATATCAAAAGCTAGAGCGCAAAAATAGCAAATGAGCGACGATGGGGGCGCATGCGAGTAACTGTTGTTTGCACGACTGGCAAGGTGTGAAGACTCAATGGCTGTCACCCTGGCGCGGCCCCGAGCCTCGTCACAGACGACGCTGCTGAAGCCTGGTTCACACTAGGCCGATTTTCCGGCCGGCGCTCCCACACCGACTCCGACAAGAAATCGACCGACTGTGTCGGAAGAGTCGGACTAGCTGTTCACACAGATCGTACAGAATGGTTGGCAATTTCGCTTGCACAAAGTTGTAGGCCTGTCTGTTACGCACGTACACGCGGTACACAGCCACCCTAGACCTATAGTAGATGCTAGACAGCGGAAATGAGATAGTTTTTACACGAGCTACACTGGGCCAAAGGCGTGAAAAGGCTTGCGTCTAGTAGCGATCCAGCGCACCCAGTTCACGGTCTGCACCGATGCTGTCTGCTGTAATTGTGAAAAGCCTACAGTGATTGGTCCGATGACCGCTCCATCACGTGCAAGAACGAAAAATCGGCCGGCTTTTCGGCTAAATCGACCATTCGATACTTGGCCGAAAACTAGTGGGGCAAGAAAATCGCAGCAGATCTGTCAGAAACCTGTACGACAACACCGTCCACAGTCCACACCAGGCAATTTTCGCCCCAGTCTTGAGGATTTTTCGTCTACGAGTACATGTCTAGGCCGATTTTCCGGCCGACATGGACTGGTAGGTCTACATAAAATCCTCAAGATCGGGAAAATCAAGATCAGGGTGCTGAAAAGGAGGTACTGGAAGCAGACGTCCGATCTGGGATATAAAACTCTCGATGAAAGCAAGCATCTGGCCTTCTGATGATTTCACCTTCTGCAAATGTTCTACTGCAGTTCAAGGCAGGACAATGAAAATAAGTATAATGTACATGTGCGTGTGCGTGTTTGTATATGTGTGTATGTGTGTGTGTGCATGCGTTCGTGTGTGTATGTGCATGCGTGTGTATGCGTGTGTGTGTGAGGGTGTGTGTGAGCGCGTGCGTGTGTGTGTGTGCGTGTGTGTGCGTGTGCGTGCGTGTGTGTGTGTGTGTGTGTGTGAGTGTGTGTGTGTGTGTGCTCGGCTGCTTGAAGGTGTGATGTTGTATTTGCCACCTTTGTTTGTTCCAGGGTTCATATACTTTCTATTTGAAGTATACATACCTGTTAATTAACCATTGACTGCTTCTGGCTAGATTTAACTAGCCATTGGCGGACTATGCCCGGCCAATCATCAAATAATTATGCTTTTGATTATGCATCAATTATGCCAACAGATATGCTGAATTATGCTGAATTATGCTCGGTTCCACTATGTATTCACGCTGTACATAGAGGATTGAGAAACCACGCATGCCCTAAGCATAATTTTTGTCTAAACCGAAAGATTATGCCGACCTTAGGGCCTGGTCAGACTGCGGCAAAATCGAAATAATCCTAGGATTATAATCCGAATCTCCATAGTAACTTGCCGCCAGAGCGGCAAAAGCGAGAGTTGACGCTCCAAAAAAAAAGCAAGAACGGACCACGCTTTTCCGCTCCAAACAGGATTTGACGCTGATACGCCATTGACGCTGATAATCACTGATTTTTTCATCTCGATATCGAGGAGCTAATTGGCCACAGACAACAACAAAACTCATAAGGATGGTTGCAAGGATTGCACTGAAGGTGTTGGCGATCCCCAAGGTGAAGGAATTTGACGTCGTTCGTGGAGATAACCACTTGACGCTCGAAAGGAAGTTTGAATTTTCACTCTCCCCACATGTGTAGTGTGATCGCGATTCAAATTCTGGACGCTGTTCTGTTTTCGTCAGGCAACCAAAATTTGCCGCAGTCTGACCAGGCCCTAACACGTTGGAATCCGTGTATTATGCTGGAGCATAATATTTGACGAAATCACAACATTATGCCAAATATTATGCCAGCATAATCTGCCAAGGGCTATGACAAGGAGTTGTAACTGGAGTATTTAAAAAAAACACATCTGCAGCCTTTCTGACAAAGCTGTATTATGCCCCGAAGCATAATTTTTGTCTAAACCGAAAGATTATGCTGACCTTACACGTTGGAATCCGTATATTATGCCGGAGCATAATTTTTTGACGAAACCCCAAGATTATGCCAAATATTATGCCGCATAATCCGCCAAGGACTATATTTAACTCTTGTGTAATCAATGGTGCTAGTGAAGCTTTTATCAGATCCACTCTGATTTAGCCACCCACACTAGTAGCAAGTATTACCTTCACTGGGGGCAGGGGTAACTGCAGTTGGATCCCGGGACGGATATCCTGATGCCGTCAATCCTTTTTTCTGCACCTTGTCCTCACCCACTTACTGAGGTGTGGTGAGCCCATAAGTGAGATCCTTTTCAAGTCCACCCAGTGTTTGGGGGTTTCAGGGGGTGTCGGCGGTTGGGCGGTTCTGTCGTATCCGGTCGGCCCCGGGGTTGGACCCCACGGCTGCGGTTCGACGACATGAACTAACTTAATAATAAACCTTCACATTACAAGGCCGTGCAGTGGTGGCCACTTGGAGAGAGTCCACCAACAGAATTACTCTTACGCACGCACGCACATATACCTAGACATACTCTCACACACATCCTCAGGTATATACAGACACGTACACTCACACCAGCGTTCAGGTTGACTCACATCTTCAAAGGATTTAACTTGGTTCAAGAGACGATATTGAGAGCACAAGGCAAGACAGACGAAAGCCGAAGCTTCCGCCTGAAGGCGGAAGGCAAGAGAGAGAGAGAAGGAAAGTCATCGCAATAGTATCTAGTTGCGGCCATGGAAGTCCATGGCCACGAGATTGCTGGTCCCGCATGCAATAGCGTATCAAACCGTAGTAAATGTGTGTACGACTGTTGCATAAAGAGCGGGAGCCATGTGGGGAAATAACAGCGTATACCAAATAAGGAAGGCCCCAGGCCTTGTGTGAAGATATAAAATAAAGACGATTATGAACCCGTTAACGGGAGATAGATAAATAATAAGACACCTATTCACACAACAAGGCATACTTGTCCCGTAGAGGCCTAAAAGGCACGTGTCTATAGTATGGATACGACAGTTCAATAGCCAATTGAGTCATCTTTCCGAGATTCCTTTTGAGTCTCTCTCCCCTCTCCCTCCCCCGAGGAGACCCACATGACCAGTTTTGGCAGTGAGCAACAAGTACAAGTACAAGTGTGTTTGTGTTTGTGTGTGTGTGTGTGTGTGTGTGTGTGTGTGTGTGTGTGTGTGTGTGTGTGTGTGTGTGTGTGTGTGTGTGTGTGTGTGCGTGTGCAGCCCAACCCATACAAATGAATACCTTGCCCTCACGAGCCACTCGGCATAATTATAATCCACCTACCCCCATCCAAAGTGCATTCACACAGTTTTTATGCAGCCATGGACCCCAGGTGAAATCACGCATGATCTGATGCACACAATAGAGGGGTTTTAAAAGATGCACGTTTTTTGCATTATTTGGCTTGCACGTCGAAAAAACACTAGTGACCTGAAGCTCAC